AAGAAACCTACAATGTAATAGCTAAATCTTGGAAACAGACTGTCCATCAACTGATAAATGGGCAAAGATACAGTTTTTTTATGCAATAGAGTACTACTCAGCTGTAAAGAAGGATAAACTTGAAATTTTCTAAGTAAATGGATGCACCTTGAGACTACTCAAATGAAATAAATCAGACACACATATGTACATATCACATTGTTTCTGTGGTGTCAGAAACTGAGTGTAAAATAAGGACCAAAATATATAATAGAGGGGCTGAGGATTTAGCTCAGCAGCACAGCACCTGCCTGGCAAGTGCAAGGTCATGAGTTTGATTCCCGGTACCAGAAAAAAAAAACCAAAAAATCAAAAAAATAAATAAACAATGTGTAATAGATATTGTTAAATAGGAAGAAAATGTTCAAATGAGAAGGATAACTCAGGAAGGAGGAGGAGAAAAGAAAGAAATAAAAAAAACTGATGGAAAAAAAGAGAAAAACTGGAAACAAAACTTTTGTAAATAAGGAGGGGAGGAGGGGTTGAATGGAGGGTAGAGAAATAGAGGAAAAAAAGAATCAAGATATATCATGTATGGGTACAAATTCCCTGTGATGAATGTGATCATTATGTATACCTAAAATGTACAAATAAACTTAATTTTAAAGAAAAGATATCCACAGAAACAAACTCCCTTCCTAAGGAATTTGCTGGCAGACATCTTCCACCAACAAGAGGGAAAAAATCAAGAAAGAGAAAGATATGAAACTGATAAAACAAAAAGACCCAACATAAGAGAGGGGTATCCTCAGGAGACGGATGAACTAAGATTTAATAATCAAAATTATACAGCAAAATAGCAACCAACCAAACCTGATTGAAGAAGGTTAAAAAGCTGTTAGGGATTTCTTCCAGACAAAGCAAAAGAATCCAACATAGGAGGGGTGATGGTAGCTTGTGTTGGTTTTGGGGTTTTTGCAAGAGGAACAATATAATACAGAACACCTATTTTATAAGATTATTTAATGATAGTCACCCAAAGAATCATATACAAAGAGTACAGGAAATCTGTCCACACATTAAAGACCAAAGAATCCAGCTGAGGGCCTGGATCCCACAGTAATGACCTGCGTGAGTTCAGCTGAAGACCTAGAGTCCATAATGCCTCCCATGAGTCCAGCTGGAGGCCTAGTGCCCATGACAACATCTCATGCAGGCCTATTTCATGGATCTGTACTGGGAAGGCCCAAAGTTCAGTGGTGGAAGCTAGAAAATCTATGCTAGTGGGATGAAGGATGTGTGCTAGCATGCTGAGGGATATGAACTGGAGTGAGGAAGCAACACTCAAAGTAAGAACTAGAGCTCCTCCAAAAAGTACCACAGCCATCCTCAGCAACAGTGAGGTCCCAAGCTCCTCCAATGATGAGGAAAACCGAATTCTCATCATGAAAGCCAGTGTGCCAAGGTTCTCCATTAGACTGAGCAGTGCACCATCTTCCCCTCCAGAGCCAGGAAGCAATGCTCAAAGTGAGGACCAGAGCTTCCCAAAAGTGAACCAAAGCCATTGTCAGCAATAGTAAGCTCCTCACTTCCTTTGATGAAGAGGATGGTCAGGTTCATCAGGAAATCTAGCATGACAAGCTCCTCCAAGAAAATGAACAGCTCCTTACAGCTTCTAACAGCATCCAATGGCTTCTATCAGCTCCCAACAGCCTCTTTTTATCCAGTTCTGCCTCTTATGCTGACGGCAACAATCCTCAAGTGGGCTTCCCACACCCAGCACCACGCTTACTCAGTTCAGCTGTTATAAGTTGATTACCAGTTGTCAATCCACCACATAGCTCCTTTGAGGAGTTTGAGAATGAATTAATAGTAGGTAGGTTAAACACTAACAAATGAGTGGGGGGTGGTGGTACATGCCTGTAATCCCAGCACTCAGGAGGCTAACACACAGGAGGATTGCTGTAATTTTGAGGCCAGTCTGGGTTACATAGTGAGTTCAAAGTCAGCCTGAATTACATAGCAAGATCCTGTCTCAAAACCCAAAACCAAAAGTTAAAAAAAGAACAAATGAAAGCATTTTAAATAGTATTAATTAAAACATTTATAATATCCATAATATATTACATGATGTTAATATAGCATTTTAATATTAATTATAACATATATAGCCAGGTTTAGAGAAGCCAAAATATTAATTATCAAATTAATACTGGGCCAGGGATATAGCTCAGTGGCAGAGCGCCTGCCTGGCAAGCACAAGGTCGTGAGTTCGATTCCTGGTACTAGGAAAAAAAAAAAAAAGGCAAATTAATAATAGACCTATTATTAGCATTAAAGAAACCAGAAAGTTAGACACTAAAGTCAGGATACTCTGTGACTGAGCAAATATTTACCAGGTTTTGATCTAACAAGAAAGAAAGAAAAGGAAGTGAGTTTGGGAAAGGAAGCCCAGAGGGCTATGAGATAAATTATTTTCCATGGTTGGAAACAGGAAAATCAGGAAATATATATTTTCTAGAAATGTGGAGGAGGGCTGGGGGTATAACTCAGTGGCATAAGCGCCTGCCTGGCAAGTGCAAGGTTGTGAGTTTGATCCCTGGTACTGCAAAAAAATGAAATAAAATAAAATAAAATAAAAAATAAAAAAAAGAAATGCGGAGGAAAACAAACTCCAAGAGAAAATAAAGAGCAGAATGTGATTCACTCAACAAGTATTTGTAGAACCCTTGTATCAGCTGCTTTCTGGCTATTGGGACGTAGCACCTGACACGCATGGTTAAGCAGAGGGTTATTTTGGCTCACGGTTTCAGTCCACAGTCAGCTGGCTCAAAGTCAGAAACAGCATGGATGGAAGAGGGCAGAGGAAAGCTGCGCATCTCGCAGCAAGCAGAAAGCAGGGAGAGAAGGGAGGAGCCATGGACAATACACCATTCCAGCGGTTCACCCCTCTCTAACCAGGCCCTACCCCAGCAGCGCATTGAGCTCTAGGCCACTGATGAGATAGCACCCCAAGATCCAAACTCCTTCAAAAAGCCCTACTATGAATACATGGAGTTTTAGGTAAACCATAATACCCCCTGTATGGCAGAGGTTCTAGGTCAGGTCTGGGCCTCAGAATATCTTGGATGGGGCATCTGTTGTGGAGGTCTGTCCTGCACACTGGAGGATTTTAGCAGCATCTCTAGCTTCTCTCCACTCAACGCTGGTAGCACTCCCTCCAGTTACGACAATCCAAAACCTCCAAATATTGCCATATGTCTGCTAGAGGGCAAAAGTAGACCCCTCGTTGTGAACCACTCTTCCTTTTAAGTTACAGGGATTCAGCATCAGACACAACATGCCCAATGAACAAAAACCCTGAAAGTCATTAATTCTGAGAAATACCTTCAGGGCAGGAAGGAGTACACACTTCTTACTCTTAAGTCTTAGAGTTCTGACTTTTCTTTTTTTTTTTTTTTTTTTTTTCTGGTACCAGGAACCGAGCTCACGACCTTGCACTTGCCAGGCAGGCGCTTTGCCGCTGAGCTAAATCCCCAGCCCCGAGTTCTGACTTTTCAAACTGTCTATTAATAAAAAGTAAAGCAAACCGTCTAAGAGAAGATAAAGTCAACTGATACCTTAAAATATTCTAACCAAGCAGTGTACAATCATACAATTCATATTTGAACCCCAGCTCCACAACTTACTAGTTATGTAACCTTACACAAATAATTTAACCCTCTCGGAACCCCATTGTCTTCAACATTAATATTTGTAAGATTATTTTGAGCCATGTATGTTATTATACAAAGATATATGCCTTTTATATAGCACCTATATTGGAAGAACTCAGTAATTCTAACATCCCTGAAAAGCACGCCAGGTACCTAGCATCCACGTGCCAGATCCTTGGGGATCACTGCCAGGGTTTTGGGTATATTAACCTGGGCTCCCATGACTTGTCATACACAAGAATTGCAAGGCCGTCTCTGAACTGGTGCATTCTAACCATGAACACTGACTCTGCTCATCATATAATCTGAAAGAAGCTGATCTGATAAATGAAGAAAGGTAATTGAAAAATATTTCAAACAGTTTGCATTTGGTTTCCATTTTCCTCTACAGATGACAGACACAAAAGTCCATACAAGGAACAAGTGATTTATTGATATCATGGCTATGTGGGAAGCAAGCAGATAGATGATACAGAATAGATTTTGAATATAAAGGATTTACAATTTTACATGGTCTTCTTTCCTTCTCCCAGTGCTCTCTGAATTATTTCAACATTTTTTGAAAGTTAACAAAAGTGAGCTATTTATTTACAGTTAACTAGGTTAAGATAAGAAACTTCTTTATATCATAAAACACTCAACAAAATCCATTATCTCATTACTCATGAAAAGTATCAGTCATCACACTAAGCGCCTGGTTCTCTGGTGGCTCAGATGCACTCTGCTCACTGTCTCATTTGGCCCTCACAGTCTGGGGCATGGCGTGGAGGATCTTTTTGCCTCATGTTATAGCTTTGCCTATCTATCCACTCAGCAATCTTTTGTCACTGGATACCTGCTGTGCCAGGAACTGTCCCATGCTGGAAATTCTTCCATATAGAGCTTATTTTTCTGCACAGTGTTTATTTCTTATCTAACATTATGTGAATTTTGTTATTTGTCTAGAATGTAAAGATCCAAAAGAGTAGTGTGTTTAGAATGAGAATGTGATGGCAATTATAAGTGGGATTTTAAGAAACTGGTCTTCATGTAAAATCAGGAACAAAGTGAAGATGAGGCAACTGGTGCTCAAAGAATTAGTAACATGTTCACGACCACAAAAGTAACAAAAGTGCAGCTGGACACAGGTATCTGGCCCCCTGCTGCATCTTTTTATAAAAACTGTTTATTCCTATAAAGACTTCTTTGGAGTTGGTCAAAATCAAACTAAATCTCTCAATTCAGATAGTTCCCTCAAGTATGAGAGAGTGTCCATTAGTCCAGAATGGAAAGAAAACATTAAATTTGTGTGTGTTTTTATTTCAGGACAAAGAATTCCAAAAAACAACAGAGATTGCTAGGAGGATATGGTGGAAATACTTCACAAAGATTGTAATTATCACCATGACAATTCTCCTTTCAATTATTATCATTCTTTTAAGTACAAATGTAATACTACCTTAACCCTCCTCCATCCCCAACAGTTGCCAATAAATTATTACATGTGATTATAGAGTTCTGTAGTCAACAATCAGGAAGTCATTTCCTAGTGGTAGAGGATTGGAGTAAAAGGAAATTAGAAGTATTTTTTCATCCCTTGACTCTTGTCTCTGTACCTTTTCCATTTCTTTCATATCATTTGTTCTTTGCCATTGCTCTGTTACTTCCCCAGCCTCACTTCTTCTTTCTAAGATGAAGTTCCACTCTCAGCTCTGCCAGACCATCTGTCTCTCTTAGCCTGTACCCATTCCTGCACCTGTAAAGGCTCAGAGGTATTGAATAGTTATGGGCATGTCTTCCACACAGTAAATGTTATTTGTGTTAACTATTAATAGGAAAATGTGATGCCATTAACGTCATTGATTAAACCCCTACAACCATCCCCCTTAACAAGAAATTACTTTGAACTTAAAATATTCATACAAACACGAGAATTTTATAAGTAGAGTCTAGAAATACACATTCACCTCTTCTACATATTGTTTCATTTGAAATGAAAATTCAAACTATTGGGTTTTATATGGAGGCATACCTTTGTAAAAGGATCCAAAACATACTAAGCCTCATCATTTCTGTAAATCACAGGTACTCTATTTTACTTATCTTTATTGTTTTGTCATTTTTAATACACCTCATCCAGTAACGAAGATTTCTAATAATTACAGCATCCAACTTTCTGTGGCACTTAGTTACTAACAAGGTATCTATCATGAGTTCTGTTTCCCAAATAGGAACTTGTGGTCTGAAGTCAGTTTTTAAAATTATTTAATGACAGGTGTGGTGGCACATATCTGTAATCTCAGCTACTCAGGAGCCTAAAACAGATGGATTTCAAGTTCAAAGCTAGCCTGGGCAACTTAGCAAGGTGAGACCCTGTCTCAAAACTTAAAATAAAAAATAAAGGCCAGGGGATATAGCTCAATGGTAGAACACCTTAGTTCCATCTCCAGTATTGAAGAAAGCAAAGTTAGTGATTTATGGGAAATGGAACCCTAATTGCTATTCACGTGCTTTAATTGTGGTAATGATAAAAATACCAGCATTTTAGATGGCTGCCAAGCTTGTTACTCCTTAAAAATCATAAAATCACCTTTCCAGTCACAAAAATATTTCTAAAGAATTTGAAATATTAGAAACATTGGGGTTTCTAAAATTTACACCCAGGGAAAAAAGCAGCTGAATGAGTATTGACTCTGATGAGTACACCGAATTTTACAGTTACACTAAGAGGTAAGAACTGTTTGGTATAATGTAAAGCACACAGCTCAGTGGCTGTTCATATAATTACCTTTAATCTGCAGCCAAATTTAACGGTAAGTTTAAGGTCACACAGCTAGAAAGCTAATTTTATTGATTCAAGTACTGGCTGTGGTAGATAGCCATAGAAAACCTGTCTAACTAGAGTACATTGTGTGACCCCTTACTTGTAGGTCAGACAAGACATGTCAGCACCCATCTGTTTGCCGTCAGTTTGGGTGGTTTTTAGCGGACAGATACAGAATTTGAAGAGTAGAGTGGGAGAAGGAAATTTTCATGTATTTTACTGCCATTTTTGAACTGTAAAGTTTGCCCTGTAAAGTTTGCCCCTTAATATCTCTGTAACTTATTATTGTATATAAATATATATATAATCTTGTGAGCAGTAGTATAGTTATTGCTGGAAAACTGAATTTAAAGTTCATCTAATCTGAAGCCAGCTGTGGTGTCACATGCCTGGAGTCTCAGCACTTGGGAGGCTAACACCGGAGGATCACAAATTCCAAGCCTAGCTAAATAGCGATACACTGTCTTTAAGAAAAAAGAAAATCATCTAAACTAGCCCCTCATTTTACACATTAGGAAAGACCCCAAAGCCTAAATAAATGAGCTTTTCAAGTTCCCCTCCACTAGGCAGCATGCTTAATCCATAGGTCCTCACCTGGTTCCAGGCAAGCTGCCCCAATGTTTTCCTATGCAGTCTTAACAGTTTTTACTTTTCAAGATTATTTAATTTATAAGCTATTGAAAGCTGAACAGAAGGAAAGCATTTGTTTAGTAAAGTTTCCCTATTTTTGTGCTACAATTGTCAGAATTTACCTTGGCAGAAGCAATTAAGGGAAATCTTAAGACTTTTCATGCACTTATATATTTGCCTATCATTACTTAATGATACATACTCTGCACCAGTTCTAAAACATTCGGATCTATTCTAAGGTACCAAAGAGATAAAACTAACTTGTTTGAAGAACAGAATTTGTATACATAAGACATGATGCTAATCCTAAGAAAAACCTACATTTTAGTTGAAGAGGCAAGTGCAACAAAAATCCAATACAACAGCGTGTATAGAAGTGGTGCCCTGCAAGGCAGAGGACACATTCAAGGAAGATAATCAATACAGGCTTGAGTCATTAATTTCATGGGTTATAAGTGGGCTGGAATTTGGATTTTATTGGAAACTACGTCAACAGATAAAGGCAGTTAATAACTTATTGAGCACTTACAATGTGTAGATTGTCATTAAGTATGGAGATTCTTTTTTAATCCTTACAGCCAACCTGAGGAAGGTTTATTGTATTTCCATTTTATAAATGAGAAAAGAGAACAAGTTGTCACCAACCCGAGTCTCCTGATCTAGTAAGAGTTCAATAAAGTCAATTTTTGCTGCAAGGGTGCATAGGATGGACTGAGCCTTGTAATCGAGCCACACAATCACTCAAACGTCAGTAGCAGAGCTCAACCTTTGGTTCCCTCAATACCCAACTATTTTCCAGCTCTCTACTGGATACCCTCTTGTATAACTTTATTTCCAAACTCAGTATGCTCTCAGCTATCCTGTAACTTAGAACCATCTCAGCCTACCTTGATGCCTCCTTTTGCTCCTCTTTCCACAGAGCCCCAGATAGGGCCGGAAATATAGCTCAGCAGCACAAGCACCTGCCTGCCAAGGACAAGGTCCTGAGTTTGATCCCTGGTACAAAAAAAAAAAAAAAAGAAAGAAAGAAAGAAAGAAAGAAAGAGTCCAGAAAGCACGCAATTCATTAAAGCTCGTAAAGGTTCCTAAGTGGAAGTCCAGATCTCCAGAAGCAAAGGTAGGGGAATCTCTAAAAGTGCCAAGGCAGGCTTTGAGAAAGGGCCTCACCCCACCATGACTGATGGCTCTCCTCTCCCCAGTCTGGACACACTGCACTCCTTTGTATTACCTGTCCAGCACTTACCAGCACTTTCCATCTGTACTGTTTCAGTCATAACTTCCACAGCTTTAAACACAGTAGCAACAAATGTGAACCTTCAGTCTTCAACCTTCAGTAGCAGAATCACCTAAGGGTTTTAATTTAGATTTTGTGGCTCCAGCCCTTGTTTCTGCTTCACTCTGGGATGGGGCCTCAAAGTTATGTGTGTAACCTACTGAGAACTGCTAACTTACCTAAGGGCATGTCCCATGCCTATCACTTTACTGTCCATAATTCTGCAGTTGGAAAATCTGAGGCTTGTTTTGGGGGCTTGTTTTGTGTTTGACAGAATCTCACTATGTAGATCAGGTGGGCCTCAAACTCTCAGTGACCTTCCTGCCTCAGCCTCCCTAATGCTACCTACCTGGCTTGATAAGCTTAATGTGCACCACTGATGACCAAGCAGGACATCAGCTCCATTCATCTAGACAACCCCATAAAACATATTCAACAAGACATTTTGAGAATCTGTAATAGGATTTCCTGTAATTTCAACAAATCTGTAGATTATTTTCGCTTCTTTTCAAAGTTTATATTCCCACTCTAGGAACAAGGCCTCCCATAGAATCTCTTCAGTGTTATGGCAGAACCTAGAAATAACAAAACCCATTAACACTGGTCTGACTCTTGTGGAACACTAAGGCACATCTTAAACAAGAGGTCATTTGTTGGGAAGCAGAAGACCTGAGCACTTCCCCATGCCCCAACGGGACACTGACCCCTCTCTCACAGGCCAGTACTGTGTGACCCTCATTCCTTTAAAAGTTCTCAACACACACAAAGGAACACTCAACACTTAGTGAAGTAATAGTTACACTTTTCCTGTATTTACACTGAGTACTTTGGTTAGCATCACTGTTGCTGTTGCATACCTAATCCAATTTACCATTTCCTGAAAGCTTTGTAAGCATTTTACATGAAACAGTAAATGCCTGTTAGCACTTTTAATAGTCTTACTACACTTGACAGCAAAACCACCTGAGGTCAAAAATTGAAAATACTCATACAAAATCTTCCTACTCTTAGGATCCTTCAAGAACATTCTGGTAAAAAGCTAGAACTGCCCTTCTACCAGATTCGGTGACTCTTCAACTTGTAAATACAATGTGACCAATTGTACATTAACTTCCAAAAGAAGCCCTTTGTTTAAAATTGTCATGTGTAAACATTATGGTAGTTGCTCAACTAAAAACAAGATCTATGGATTTAAGATACCCAAGAAAGTTAAAAAAAAAAAAAAGACAGTGCGAAAAATGCATGAGTGCTGTAAGAGTTTAATTGTAAGACAAAAGCACTACATTATAATTTAAACATACTTTTCAGAAAAGAAAATTTAGTGGAAATTAAAACCCCATGAAAGCCCACTACCAACTTCATATGAAGACCTAGAGGTAGGCTTCTAGAAATGGAAACACTTGGGTCTGGTGGAATCTGCATGGTAAAAATGCCTTGAAAATGTGGAGTGGTACAGAGAACACGTAATTTAAGAGCAAGTCAACCAGATACTTAAAAAGACATGCTAACAGATCTTAATACATAAAACGGATTAATTTGTGGTAGCATGCTTTATATATCAATAATTGTAGGAGCAATTTACAGCAAACTTCTGAGCATCTCAAAATTTTTTCTGCCTTGTCTCTCTCAACTACACTGTAATAAAGAGCCATCTTCCAATTTTTTGAAATAAGGGTTCCACTTCAACGGTCTCAGTGTTTTATAAAAGGTGATTAATCTCTATGTAATCCAAAGCCATCCATACAACACAGAAAGCAATTATGTAATTCCTTTTTAAAAGTATTTATTCAAAGCAGTTTCCATGACATGTTAAATGTCACATTTAGATAACTGGCATTAACACATCTCTTAGGTTTCGTCCAATATTTTTCTAAGAGAAAATTTTAAAAGCTAGGAAAATAACCTTGCCTTCAAATTCTATAGTGCAAACAGAATACAGCCTGATTACAAAATGAAAATGGGTACAAATTAATCTTGAAGTCTCAACATCAAATTTCCCAAAATATAATCCTATGACATCTATTGTCATTGTTTAATGAATTAGTGCCTACCTGTATTTTAGCTGAAGGCTTTAAAAGAATTCCTCTCACCACAAGTTAAAATAACATATATAGACTGCTGTAACATCTGGTTCTTAGGATTGAGGTCTTCTGTAGCATCTTCTTAATCCCTTTTTAGCACAATTTTTCAAGGTCTTCTCCATGGCCTTGTAAGAACTCATCCACTGCAAATTTCCTACCTTTATAGGGTTTACTGGGCTGATTCACTAACTTTTAGCAATTATCCTACTTTTTCTAAATTACACTGTCCTCTTGGCCCACATCCTTGACCTAAGGTCACTTGAGAGACCAGAACCAACCATCCTTTTCAAGACTCTAAAAGGCATTAAGACAGTAAAGCAACAACCAGCCCAACTTGAGACAGTATGAAATCAATTTCAGAGCCATTAATTATTAATTCATAATGTAGTAAGATCGAGGTCAAATCAGCGGGAGTCTGGGACAAGATAGTAAGGGAAATATACTCCCTGTAGAAAACATAAAAACAACAAAAATCAACTTACCATGTTCCCAGCCTCTACCACCCACCCCTTCTTCCCCTTGGTACACTATTGCTGTTATCTGTACACTCTTTAGAATGCTAAATTCTTTTTTCATGCTAGACTTTAACACCCATGACTAAAATACTTCATGTAAATCTTACAAAACATGTACCCTACCACTACACAGAAAGACCAGAAGCCAAAAAGCTCTATAAAGTAACATGTTTACTTTCACCATCTTAAAGCAACGATCCTTAGTACATTTCACTTGGGGTATGTGAAACAAAATCCCAGGCAACACACACCCCCTAGCAATTGATCTCACTCTGATATGGGTGCCCTACAAAGTTCTTTGAAAAGCCAATCACATTATAATCAATTCTTCCTAATTTACCGTATTTTAAGCAACTGAGAGCTAATAACAAGGCATACAGACTCACTTTGCAAAACTTATCTTACTAGAATCACTTTACCTGTGGAAATTTTCAGGCAAGAATACACTAAATCATAATAGCTTAAGTGTGGTCAGGATTGAATAAAGATATTCCCTTCACTACCTGGTAAAAACTAGTTTTTAAAAAATCATGTTTTGCGAATAGCCTGGAGTTATGCTTAAATGTTAGCACACTGGTGGGTCTATCAGGAAACTACTCCCCTAAAAAAAAAAAATGTATCACCACATTCACTTATTTTGTCAATGCAAGCTAAAATGACCCCAAGCCAAAGAAATGCTTACAATTTCAGGACCAACAGATACTGTGCTCAACAATGGGTTTGGTCCTGGCTTATAGAACCCCTGGTATTTCAGGACCCAAAAAGTACTGACAGGATAGTACCAAAATAGGGCACAGGGGAAGCAGTAGAAGCAAAGTATATAAACTAAACTAGCTTCTAATTATAGAATGTAAAGGCCAGATAACAATGTTTAGAGATGACTACCATGAACTGGCACTGGACAGATGTTCCACATGCAAAGGAGACTGTAACTCAGACACAACCAAATACAATGAGGAAATTACCAACCCAGTGTAGAGTTATTATGGTTACAAGATGGTAATAAACATATAGTAAACCAAAAGGTATCAAAATATGATTCAGGACAGCAGATGTACAATGCTCATTACTTGAAGGTGGAATTAGTAGTTGTTGCAAGACTACCAAACTCTGAAATGAAATCAATGGTTCTTAACACATCAGTTAAGTACAGGTTAATGCTATAATAAATCAAAGAAGAGCTTGTAACCTTTCTTCGCTAAATAAGGGTGCTGAGCTGTTAATACTGTACCTGCTTCTTCTGTCTCCCCAAACTTTTCACAACTACCAAGCACACACAGAATAGGCCATATCAACATCACCCTTCTCAAATGCTACTACAAATCAGGAACTTAAAAAAATGAGACCTTTAAAAATAACAGTAATAAATCTAACAAGCAACAGGAGATAGCAACAAAATTTTAGAAGCTAAAATATACTGTCAGCACCGAAGACATCTCAGAAAAATCACACAGAACCCCAGTGAAGGCTGAAGAACTAGTAGCCTACCAGCAGAAACACTGCTTCAGTCTAAGCATCTAAGTTAGAGCTCCAGATCCTCTGTACTGCCAGACAACTAACTCCACAACCTGGAGAGAAACCGGAAGCAGTTGAAAGCGTTCTCTGAACCGAGTTAATATCCCTCAGCCTTTTCCCTGCGAAAGGAAAACAGTGGCAGGCTGGGATTTACGTCGCAGGCCCCTCATGACCTTGACCAACTAGAAAAGAGAAAGATTAGCTAGGTGTTCCTCAAAAAAATTAAAAAAATTAATCACAGACCACACAGCAGAGAATCCAAGGTTCACAAATTCTTCTCCCACCTCAACATACATTCACAACATCCAATTAGTTTTAAACGTTCCACACTAAATATGAACTTAGAATCACCAAATCTGGTTTTAAAAATTTACATAAGCCAGTGCAACAAGACTGTGTACATTAATCGTGAATAACCTTTAGAGGTAATGAAGATACAGTATTTGCAACAGATTGGGGGCATCTTAGAATTTAAGAGGTAAGTGATCCTTTATATCTTTTTTAAAGGTTCAAAGATTAAACTATAGGAACTGCACAAGAGACTGCAATGGAAATAGAACAAAAAATGCCTAAGGCTTATGCCTAGTAACAAGAATTTCAGGCAACTAAGATCAGGATGGTGGACGGAGAAGCGTTTACAAAATGTAAGATCCACTAAGTACTCCACACAATGGATAAAATAAACCCGAGACACTCATGAAATTTAAAAGCACTAACAATAGTAAAAAATCATGATTTTTCTGAGTAATGACTTCATACATAAAGTCAAGATTCAAAGTAACATCGTATTTCCTCACCAAATCTTTCTCCATCCAGCCAGCCTGATAACCCAGTATGAATACAGAAGACAAGAAGGCCTCAGAAGTATGAGATCTGCTATACTGATCCAGACCTATAGCAAACCAAGAAAGTACTGAGGCAGAGGACCCCCAGAGTAATGGTAAAGCCCAGCTACAATTATTTAAGGGCAACCATTTCAGACTAAAATATGGAAATCAAAAAGATAAAGCTGATAATTACCAAATGAATTTGCACAAATGGCAAAATTTAAACTGTTAGTCTCAAGATAAATTAGTACCCAGTGGTAGGAAAACTACTTATCTAGGCCAAGAGAGAGTATCTTAAAGGGATCAGAGTAAGAATGCAAATACAATTTAGATATATGAAAACAAAATGATATATAAACCAGATTAAGAATGGCTTTTTTTCTATGTTCCTTTTATAATGAGAATCTCCAAAATTTAAATAAAAAATTACTGAAGCCAAACAAATCTGAATACACCAATATGACTGTCAATTTCTATGCATTCAACTTACCAAATCATGGGACTTGTAAACATTTAAACATCAGCCACACCACACCCATTTCTTCTAATTCCATCAGTTTTAAACCCAGTTAATTTTTGATACAGGTTTACATAAAATAAGCATAGTATTACATAATGTAACACAAAATAAAACCCCAGCCTAACAACTACAGTACTTCTTTTCCACTGATACAGACCAGTTGTCAAAAAACTTTCTACAAAGAGCCACAGTATTTTAGCTGTCCGAGTCTGTCTCAACTTCTCAGTTCTGCCACAGCAGCGCACAACCTGTAAACAAATGAGCATAGAGCTATGTTTCAATGCTATTTTACAAGAACAGGCTGCAGAACTCCCATTTGGATGTCTATCCTAGGATTTTAACTTAATAATACTGGCCTCAAACTTGTGGCAATCCTCCAGCCTCAAATTTCTAAACACCAGATATAACTCAACTCCACAAATGGAAAAACCTTATCATTCTGGAAGAAGCTATCTCATTCTGCTACAAAATTATTATGCCATTTTTCATGTTAAGTTTTTTTTCCTAGTTAACTATTCAACAGTCAGATTGGAACTGACTTAACAGTCTTATCACTCAGGATCATATATTCACCTGGAGTAGTAATTACAAGTGATAGGTATCAAATTCCCTGCTTATATAACAGATCCCAAGAACCTTCCAACTCAGAAGTCTTACCATTTTGTACAATTTTATAAATAAAACAAGTGATAGACAAAACTATTCTGACTTAACCCTAAAGTTATCATTTAGACTCCCTGGTCAGACATTGTTTAGAATGACTCAGAATTCCCCAGTCCACCTTCAAATCTTAAGACAGCTATTTTAATACTTAAAAAAAAAAAAAAAAACAAAAAAAACATTCAAACAAACACACATAAACAGTGTACATTTCTTTAATCCTCCCTCAGCACTTGAGAGTATCTATGAAATATTAAGTCCAGTACAGCTTTAAAATTTCTCCAAACTAGCTGCATTTCTACTGTAATTAACATTTTAAGTCCATATTTTTATTTAATGGAAGCATAAAACATCTGTGCAAAGGGGTTCTTGCACATTTATCCAGATTTGTTCTAAAAAGCATATTAAGCATACATATTAAGACAAAAACTGGGCATTCTGGAACGTATTCATATAAAACTTAATGGCTACACAGGAAGTAATATTAAAACCACAAATAAATCAACATTTCCAAATTGGACAGGGAGGACACACTGGCAAAAATTTTGCTAAAACCATTTAAAATTTCACTGCAATTTTAGCCATGTCAACTTTGACAAAGTTTACTGTTTTTTCAAAGTAATTCTTGTAATAACTTGAATCCATAACAATTTTTAATATTCCTCAGTTTTTCCTAGTCTGATGATAAAAGAGCCAATACATTTTTATACAAAAGGATTTATTAAAAAACCAGTAAGACACTACTACATCATGACACTGTCACACTGGGCTTTTAACACAAGACTTGCTCTACAATACTTGGGGAAGGGCATAAAACACAAATTGATTCTGAAGCATAGCAATTAAGAAATAAAACAATGAAAGCAAATTTCTTTTAATGAAAACTCAGAATTAAACTTCAGAGGGACCCAACGTCATACTTCCATTCGGGGACTTGATACAAAAAATTTAGTTTGAACTGCTATTAGCAGGTGGCAGGAGCCACCTTCAAATGAATCTTCAAATTGGAAAATACTGCTTCACCACCTGGAGACAGAAGAAAAAAGAAAGTCACTCCGGGCAGGCTACAACACTTACCAAGATTTACATAAAACTGAGTTATCCCTATGTTCCACTATATGTAAATACTGAGTAACATTAAAATGTGTGGTATGTTTTATAAATTAAAGCTGAACAGTACAGTCCATGAGCTGTAAATCCACATGTGCACCACTGGTTTAAGATGTGATATGCTTTCATAAGGATTTTTTAAAATTACAAAAAAGCTTTTCAAAAAGTATTACCTAAAGAACTCATAAAAAGCTCAGTCAATTTGGTAAAAGGACATTTTGACCCAAAAGCATCTATAATTTAAGCTTATTTTATTGGATCAGCATATCTCTTGTTCATCACAAGTTACAGAAAAGTTATATACAACTAAAAGAAAAAGTTATAAATAAATATAGATATATAGGGAGTTGTCACAACAGGAATTCAGCTCAAGAACTTCTTGCAATTACTGCTACAACGTCTATAAATGGGAAAAGCAAGCATTAAAATAGATTAATAAAATATAAAATTAAGACTGGAAAATCCAGAGACAAGCTGTATCCTTAGAAGAATAAATAGTTAAAATTATTCAGTAAGCTGACGTATTTAACCATTACTGGGCCTGTAAAAAATGCATTAAAATTACATTACAAATAGTTTTTAAAAAGCAAAGAAATAAGTGAAGGCAAAGCTTGAAGTATCCACTTTATTTTATAATGCTGATACAGGATGTTGGAAGAGACCATACCAAACGGCAGCATTCGAGAGCGTGAGCATCTCGTACCCTGTCCGCATTGAGCGGGCCTGTGAGAATCGTGAAGTCAGCGCGACACAGGGCCTGCAATGAAGCTCCCGCTGGCGGGTACAAACAAGGTATAATGTCAGAGTTAGTAGGCAATACTTTTTTGCTGTAATTCCTTAATTTGTACCCATTAGCAGTACTTTACCTGTTAACTTTACTGACTTGTTAATTATAGGACAAAAAGGCAAAAAGCTTAAAAGCACCTGTGTTACATATCTTGAAAAGTCACTATGTAATAATATGGTAAGCACTTCTGGGTGCTGTGAAACTCTAAAATATTAAGCACTGTTTTATATACAATATAGAAAATATATAAACTACTACTTTAAAATGATCTCTTTAAAAAGTATTTTTAGGACATACCTGTTGGGGATAAGTTGCAAATGGAATAATTTAGTATGGTTTGTAGCTATTTTGATGACCACCTCGCCTGGATACTTTTCCATAACCACTCTGCTGGTCTAAAATAGAAAAAGTGTTAAACCCCATCTACAGTGGTTATATAATTAGAACAGAGTATAATTTCAAATAATCTCAAAAACCCCGAATGTGAAAAATTCACCCAGAGTAATCATTTAACCAATAATTTAACAAAGTATGTAATGAATGCCTATAATGGCAAGCATTCAGTATGAGTTTATTACTCGAGTAAAATGGAAGACAATCCCCTGACCCTTTATAAAGGTCTGAAGTTCCAAAGTAGGGATAGCTGACCCTTTCACACCAACCAGGTAAAACCATCTTACAACTTACAACAGGAGATTGTCAACCAGAGTTAATGCTTTATTATCTCTGCCCTTCTCGGCAAAGGGCCCCCATCTCACCCGCTTCATCTTTGCTGACCTTCTTCTGACTTTAGTTAACCTATCATTGTGCAGCAGGCCTAGTCGCCTAAAAGGATGTTAACTCCAAGAACTGGTCTAACCAAGGAAGGAAAAGAAACACCACTTAATGCAATCAGTGTAACCGCTCTTCTCTAAAGAATGCAAGACTGCTTCTAACAGAGCCCTTTCCCAGATGACTGAAAACACACCACAGATTAGGTGGGGGGCATCTTAGTTATACAATGAGGCCAGGGCTTTCTAAATCGAAATTTCAAGCTTTCTGCTCTATCAAGTTCAACATCTAAGTTCTACATCAATAATTTTAAAAGAGGATACGATTAAGTTTTAACTGGCAACATGTGATATTAGTCAATTGTATAGGATATTAAGACACTTTATGCCAAGATTATTGGTTGGTCCAAGAATAGACACTTGGAATACCTTGCTCACAAGTTCTGACCTACACTTAAATATTTTCAAATGCAAGAGAAACTCCCAGCAAACATATGCAAAACTCACATACACCCTACCCTTATAGTATGCATGTGATACAGGCTGGGAGGAACCTGGCAATAAAATGGCTGCAGTTTAAAGTTTCCAGGAATTTGAAACCTGAAGAAGTTTTGCACTTGGCAAAGCTACACTAACTTTTCTACCTATCCAAATTTGTACAAAATAAATGTCAAATAGCAGTTAATATAAAAAGTATAGTACTTACTGCTATAATCACCATATCCATAGTAGTTGTTGTAACCAGTGTAGTCATATCCTCCATAACCACCGTAACCTTGGCTGTTATATCCATAGTTGCCATAGCCTTGATTCCAATAGTTACTATATCCCTGGTTCCAGTTTTGACTGGGGCCTGCAGCACATTAATAGGTTCACTAAAGTCAGAAGATCAGCAAAGATCTTTACTTCAGGATAATTAAAAAGCAGAAAAGCTTAAGACAGAGTAAACGTAGGCTATAGCTTACCACCACCTCTCCCACGAGCTCGTCCCGCAAATCCTCCTCTTGACCCCCACTGCTGCTGTTGCTGGTACTGCTCCTTCGACATTGCTACTTTTATTTCACACTAAAAGAGAAAAATTGTGTTACACTGATTCAAGAAAATAAAGTTGCTCATCAGTTTATAATAACCAAAACAGCCACTACTGTTCATCTACTACTGGCTAATTTCGTGCTTTCCTCCAAATCAGTTTGTCAACTCAAACTGATTACTAGTATTGAGAGAACAATCACTTCCAATGATCCCCTGCAAGTACTCGCTAGACATGTTACTACTGCATCCCACTTGTCAGGTCCTAAAAAGACATTTTGTCATAGAAGGTTAGACAATCACTTTAATGAATTCACTTTAATCTTATTGGGGAGCCTTCCTGGCTCCCCAGTAAAAAGCAAACAAACAAAAAAAGTCTACCAATAACTTTGACAAATTAGTGGGAGTCAGGAGAATACCTTTAAAGGATAAGCACGCAAGCTGAAGGACACACAGATTGCCAAGCCATTAAATTTTCTGTAGTAGATCATTTTCTCTACAAGTTATAAATGCTTAAAACTTACTTTACTAAGCCCAACATTGTGGTATTTCTTTTCCATTATCTTCTTCACTGGTTCTTCTTCCTTAAAGGTAATAAAGCAGAATCCACGCCTCTTATTGGTTTTGTTGTCCATGGGGAGCTCTATGGATTCCACCTAGTATCAAAAAACAAGCTTTAGTACCCTAGTTTGAATTTATTAACAGCACAAAGTTTAGCAGGAAAACTACACATTTGGCCCTGAAGTTCTATTCTGCTACCGTGCTTCTCTGTTTATTCTACCCATTTTACAAGTTTTCAAATTAGAATACCCACACTAAGTCAGTAAACACAACCACAAAACCAAGCTTCCCCAGGTACTAACACTTGCTACCTAACCCAAGAACCACAAACTCAAATGCCAACAAAAAGACAGGCCATTTTAAGAAAAACTGAATTTAAACGTCTGCATATGAGAGAAAATCAGTAGTGGAATGGGTCCATTGCAGACTACACAGCAAACACCACACAAGGTGGAAGCTGCTACTCAAATCTTAAAATGGCTGCTGTCATGCAGCAAGGCAACAGCAGTTCTGATGCTGCTTGCTCTTACAAAAAATCTGTAAGTAGTCTCATTAAACTAGTACTTTGTGTGCATACATGTCCTAGGAATGGAACACAGGCCCTTCACACTGAGCTATATTCCTACCCTTTTTCTTGAGACACAGTCTAAGTTGCCCAGGCTGCTGGTAACTTTCCTGCCTCAGCCTGATCTCCTGCAGAGATCACAGGTCACTGCACCCAACTTAAAATTTTCATTGATACATACGGCATTATATCCTACCCTTAATTCATTCTTTTCCTATTCTCAACTAAAGTTTCCTTCCGTATCTTAGGTAACCCAACTGGGACTACTCTTTTTCATTGTAGTTTTATATCTTCTACTAACTGAATAAACTTCTTGAGTTAACAATGCTTGTCCCAAGCCATTGGGACCTGGGACCTGGGACCTGCCGGTAGTCTCAACTACGTGAGAGGCAGAGACAGGGGGATCACCCCAGACCAGGAGGCCAGCCTGAGTAGAACGCAAAACTCCTGCCTCTTTAAAAAAAAAAAATTCACGCCCATTTCATCTTTGTGTACAATGTGCCCAGCACACTATTTTACATATGCAGATGCTAAATAAATGAGAAAAATTTTATCAAGTAATCTTCAGAGATCTGCTCATAAAATGTTTTCAATATTCTTATTCCAAAATAAATCATATTATCTGCCCTAACTTTAAACAGCTTTGCAAACTCCAGTGAATTGGGCCTACTTAATATGAACTCACACTAATTTTGACATAAACTGGGTGAAACATTTAAAACATACCTCACCAAAACCACCAAAGTACTCCCTTATTTTCTCTTCAGGTGTATCTGGAGAAAGGCCACCAACAAAAATTTTTTTAACAGGCTCTTTTGTTTTCATGGCTTTGGCCCTTTTAGGATCAATCACCTTCCCATTCAATTTATGTTCTTTCTGATCCATGACCTAAAGAAATTAAGTTTTCCATTTTAAATATTTGTAACTTAACTGAAATTCAGAGACTATCAACTTAAAAACTATAGTCATACACAGCTAATGTCAGACATAAACTGACTAGCTCAGGATTAAACCGTCAAGTCATAGTGATATGACATCAGCTAATACATACTACTGCTTAAATCTCAAAGTCAGTAAGAACTGGGAGATGGTACTACACAAATTTAACCAATTACTAGGCACTATCAACTTTGTTAAATGCCAGGCAACATAAACAAATGTATGCTACTTCCTTGTAGTTCAGGAGCAAAACACTGATTTGATCGGAAGTGGCTTAAGAAAAAACTTCAAAATATGCACTTAGGTGAACTGGTCAAAGAATGTCCTTTTATTTATTTATTTATTTATTTATTTGGCTGGCTGGTTGGTTGGTTGGTTGGTTGGTTTTTCTCCGGTACCGGGAAAAACTCACAACCTTGCGCTTGCCAGGCAGGCGCTTTTGCTGCTGAGCTAAATCCCCAGCCCCTTATTTATTTTTTTTAAGTACCAGGACTGAACTCAGGACCTTGTACTTGCCAGGCAGGCACTGGGACTGTCCTTTTAATTTTTTGGTGGGTGGGTGGGTGGGTGGGTGTGTGTCTCTAAACTCAGTTAATTTTAACTTAGTAATACCTGGCATACAGAGAAGTATGCAGTAAATAATTCCTGAATCTGCCCTTCTCCTCATAAACCTTTGGCAAGTTTACTTCTTCCTCTTTAAATTTGTAAAGGGAAAACCACAAATCATGTGCAAATTCATTACATCAAACTATGCATTACAATATTGACGGAGCACAATACATACATAACACACTACCTTATCTACACTCTCCGACTCTTTAAATAGCACAAAGCCAAAACCCCTTGATCGCCCTGTGATAGGATCTAACTTCAGAGTGCAGTCTACAACTTCACCAAATTTGGAAAAGTAGTCCTTCAGATCTTTCTTTGTAGTGTCCCAGCTAAGGCCTCCTATAAACATTTTCCTGTAAAGACAAAAGGGAGTATTAAAATGCTAAAAAAAAATTAAGTTTTGTCTTAAATACTGTATTATCTACATCAGTAAAGCACCTTTGCTAAACTGCACTAATTTACTGGGCAGTGTTATTAAAATGTCATTCTTCCTACACAGCCCAACACCAAAAAACATTTCAAAAGTTTTGCTTTCTGCTGCTGCTGCTGGGTAACTATAAAATAGTAAGCAAGCAGCAAATTAGCTCTGTCAACTTGCTAAAAAAATAAATGGATGAAAGTATATCCAAAGTAAAATTATTACAGTGTTTTTCTTAAATATCATTAACAAGACAGAATCTTAATTTTTAAGTTTCTTCCGAACCTTCATTAAACTGGTCAGGTCATTCTCCATTCATCACACCAACCTTGTATTTAAATTATAGCTATAGCACCTTTACTACTTTCTACAAATAGTCCTTCCTTTAACGAACCTCTTAGCACATAAAATGTAAATCTAAGTCTCAGAAGTTGTAAACCAACTTTCCGAATGTGCTAGAAATCCTTAATAAAGACAAAAGTAATAATGTAAACAATTTAGTGAAAAAAGATCTATTGAAGCAAAATTCACTAATTAGTTTCTTTACAGTAGAACCTCAGTTAACCAGCAATATTTAAATCTTTAGAAATGGTAAAAATGGCAGGTGCTAAGTGGAAAACCACCAAGACCAGACCAAAGAAAGAACAAAAAAAAATTTTTTTAAGTTAAAACCTAACATTATTACTGCAAAATGCCAAAAAGTTCAAATCTAGAAGCGCTGTGATCCTTTTTACATCTGTTCTCTTTGCACAGACACACACACACACACACACACACAGCGTGCAGCTAATCTATACCTTCTACCCTTCAAGACAGGACTGGGAATCTTTAAAGGTAAACTGTCAGAATTTGTTACGCAGGAGCTAAATGGGAATAGAATAATGACTTCTTGAGCTTTTCTTTTTAACTTGGGGCCATCATGGGGAGGGATGAAGGAAAACATAGTACTAACTTACAGCTCCAGAAAGAAATTAAAGCAACCCTTTCATATAAAACATCTCTATATTTTGTGAGCTTTCAAGACATAACCGCTAATACCCATCCTTGTAAGAGGCCAATTTACTGTCCCTGGAATTAGGGTCTTCCTTTCCTTACCCCCAAAGAGGGTCTGATTAACTGAGGCGTTATTGCTCTTGCTATTTTACCACAGACTTGTGTAACTTCTAATGACAAACCTAAGTTCCAGAGCAAAAGTCTTATATTAGGCATATTTGTGCTTCTCATTCCAGCCTAGGTTTTTAACTTGAACAAGTACTCTTGAGCTAGGCCATTTACATGCTTAATTTTGTGCACTTCCTCAAATAAAAATTCCCTTTTTAAAGTTAACATTTACAACCCTTTTGGTATTCTATGAAGAAATGAACATATACCAAAACACCCATAATATTGTGTAGGTATTTTAAATGTTTACTTATTGCCAATTCCGTGGAAAGTTTTTGAGGTATTCTCTTAATAATACACATCTCATTCCTTTAAATATAGCAACTTCTAATATACAATGTTTATTTACATAATTTTCATATAAGTATGTTTTTTTAGCCCAAAAGTCCAAAGTACTTTAGAGATGAAAGTATATTACCAACAGTTGTCCTTTCAATGTTAAGGACACTGCTTGAAAGATAGAAACTGACGATAAAACAATGATTACAGAAATTTCCTATCAGTAACTGAACAAAGTCTGAAATTATTCAGCTTAAACAAAGTTTGCATCCTGTAGAGGTGCAGAACAATAAAAGACTTACTTTTATAAAGGTAAGTTTAAAAGGCAAAAAAGTCTCGTCTATTCATCAAGTATCAAGATAGAACTAGTTTCAATTTTATTTAACCACAATAATACTTATATTGGGAAGGCACCTTTAATTTAAAATTAATAAATACATACAATTTAACATCCTGAAATGAGGCATGCTGTATTATTCTCAACTGCCAACTATTTCTCACAGATAGGAATTTTCTTAACATCTAGTAAACATATACTAATTCAAGTGTCCCAGTAAAATGCTCTCAAAAGAAACTTCCCACCTTCAATATAGTCTTTAATATAGAAGTTGTTGAAATTTAGAGCTGAAAGGATTTATAAAATAGTACCCTACCTACACAACTGAATTCCATTTATCCAGAGTACTGAATACTTAGTCAACTATAACTTTTACATATTCCATACAATGACTTCTAGTTCTCCAAAAATTTAGACCAAAATATATAGTAAAATTTCAGCTATCCAGCACTTTTAAACAATTAAAAGCCACTTATTAAGCCAGGCATCCATGTCAGCAACCTCAGCACTGAAATGAGGCAGGAGGATTTTGAGTTCAATGCCAGCTTGGGCTACAAAGCCAAGACCCCGCCTCAAAAAAGCCGAAAGGGCTACTTATTAATACATCAAGTACATCTCATGGCTTAGCTTAAAAAGTTCTATTTTTCACTTTTGCCAGATTAATCACAAACTGTTGTTTCTAAAAAGTGTAACTTCCATTTTATATGGTAAGTGGCCAGCTGCTAAACTTTTCAAATTTTGCATAAAATGCAGTTTCTAAACAGTAGGCTAAGCGGTCCTTGAGACAAATCTACTAATATTTTGGCAATCCAAAAGCACTCTGGCTCTTTCTTCTGCTCTAACTGGTTAAACTGATACCAGACAGGTGAATGTACTGCAACTAACATAAACAATACCAAATACATTCCACCTTTACTACATGGAACATTAAATCTACTCTACCTTCATTCAGCAGGCACAACTGTGCCTGTACAGCGCAGTGAGACAAGGTGTGTTTACTGTACGTATGGGTAAGTGGACACTTACTTTGCCTCTCTCACACACTGGCATGCATTTTTCACCAAACTATGGAAGTACCTAAGATTAATACCAATTTAAATTATCTATATTTTATATGACTGTATCTTGCTTAAAGCACAATACCTACTGTCTGTCCAGATTACCTCCGCTGCCTTGAATACAGACTGATTTTCAAGTTGCTGTCACTCCTGTAGAGATGCAAACACTTTCCAATCAAGTAGAGATATTACTTCGAAAATTCCTAAGCAGCAAAATTAAACTACCAAGACTTGTTCAAGTAGCAAAAAAATGGCTCCTAATGCTGCAACGTAAGTTTAAAATTTGATCCTGAAGTTGTCAGTGAATCAATAATCCCCAATTAAAATATATAGGATTTCATCTATAGTATTTTATTAACAAATTTCTTAATCCTACCCATGACTAAACGTTTCACCCCAAAGGCAAACAGTATCCAATTTAAAACACCTACTCAACAAATAGAAGTTTGTTTGCTTTCACAGCTGGTATTACAGTACACCAAATTTAAAAATTCAATGACAAACATAAAGTTACATAACTCAGTGTAGACTGACTATCCTAATGCTACTCTCTGTCACTCGGGTATGTAGGCTGCTTTGGACATTTGCTATCTTTCAGTTCAAGTTTAGAAGCAGTAAACCCGAACTCCCTATGTTTAAACCCTAGTTCTCCCACTTACTATGTAAGTATGTTTTTAAAAAATGTTTGAAGACTGTTTTTCCCATCTATAAAGAGCCTAACTGAAGGCATCCGCATGTAGGATTAAATTGGGTCAATACACTTAAAAGGCACAGAGCAGTCTGATCCATTCGAATTGGTTGGCAAATTATTATTTTGTAGAAGAGCACCATCTAGACATAATTTAATAAAGCAACTTTTTTAATTTGCTCAATTTACGTTTTTAACTAGACATTATAAACTCTCCAACATTAAAGTAAAAAGGCCCTGAGTTTAATACAAATGGATCCTAAATTTTCAATGCTAAAGCCTCAAAATATGCCAGAAATGTTTAAATATCCCATGTCAGAAGGAAAAAAAAGGAAAATAGGTCATCTTTTAAGAGCCTCATGTGTAGCTTCTAAAATAGTCATGATGACTATACTTACATACATGCCAGTACTTTATAATTTAAAACATAAAATATAACATATATGGAGCAGTGCAGACTGACAAATAAGAAAATGGTCCAACTTAATAATTCTGGCATTTTTTCCCAACAATAAACTAACTTGACTATTGTGGTCATTAGGTTTACCACTCTAAAGTAGTAAATAAATATTTAAACATACTTTCACTAACAGTTCTTTACCGGAAAACATTTTACTCAAGGTAAAATCTCATTACCTTTTATCTCATTTTGAAAGAGGAAGCAAAAAGACGGATTCCGTAAGTTTTAAACACTTCCATACAAGTCATGATCTTACATATATGGCTTCATAACAAGTTCTGACAGTTTAAAAAACCAGAATATCAATGGGATAAATATTTCTGGTGTATACTATAATTGGCCAATCACTGTCACCTTTGAAAATGTTAGCTAACTATTAATTCTCATTTAAATAATTTTTCTGTTATTGTATCACAATTATTCTTTAAAACACTAAAGTGATAAACTATAATGATATCGAAACGTAAGTCATGAGTACTTTTATTTGGAAATTACATATTTATTTTAAACTAAGATACGAGAGAGGTTATTTCACAACTAAACATCACAAGGTAGGGAAGTGACTTTAGAATTTGTATAAAAACTACCCTTGGAAATATCTTGACAAACTTTTATCTAAAAAATTACCAGACTTTCTAGACGTGGTCAGGTTTAAAATACACAAAAACCACATTAAAGCTGGCCAGTAAATCTTTTCTCCTGAAACACCTCAGTCAATAAAATTTAAATTCCAGTACTGTCCCTTTTTTAATAGGTAATTTCTCCCCTAGCTTTACATGTATACGTTAAAATGACTTATTAATAATAAATATAAAAAAGAATCCTATTCAAGGCGAACATGTATAAGATCAAACATTTTCAAACCAAACCTAATTCTTCTATATTAAATCCCATTACATCATACTTCAGAAGAAACCCAAATGCTTATTAAAAGATAACTAGGTTCAAAACACCAAATAAATTAAACTTTATAAATTTTATAAATGCTGAACCCAACAGTTCCCTTTTTCTCCATTACAAGGAAAGAGTGACATCATGTTCTTTAATGTTACCCATCAGCTCTATAAGGTAAACTCCCATTTACCAAGAGGTTAAGGAATGGTTACTTCCTTATCATAGATGTCAATGTTCTGGTTAACTGAGATTACTACATATTTAAAATTCTATGAAGTACTCCACTGACAATTGACTTACGCTGAAATGAAAAAATGATTTTTATTTTTTGATAAATTCTTAAATCTGTCAATGCTTTAAATTCATTAATTTGAAACACAAGTAAAAATCTGTACGACAGTCACTCTTTGATACTGCTTGTTGGTTTCTCTTTAAATGTATTTGCTGATAGGCTCACCCACTTCACAAGATTAACACGTGGGAGATGAGTTTTCTGGTTGTTTGGAGCATTTTGGTGGTCTTGATAAGCAGGAGTTTACAGTATATAACCCAATACTTAAAGTGATCCACTTTGGTCATTGATCAAACATCACCAGTTAACAGGAATCTTCCCTCCCTACTCCCAAATACTTTTAAATACCTGGCATGATCAACATATAATGCTCCAAAAACTAAAAACATGCTTACCTTTACTCCACAGGAGTAAATCACAGGCAGTATCAACTATTAGGACACAGGATAAATACACACAAGCTATGAAAGTAGGCTATGTAGTCATTCTTCCTGTGGTGAGCATTGTTTCCAACACAGAGATCCGCAAACCAAATAACAAACATATTACCTGAGACCACACTGTTGAAAGTGAACAGAAACAGATTCCACACTTCCAGCATCCAGTTCAGTGCCCTATCTACTAAAATGCTGAAAGTCAAATCAAACTTAGACTAAAGTTATACATCACTCCATTTGTGAATATGCACACTGGAGATGCACATCTTTAAAAGAAATGTGAAAGTTATTTTACTCTTTTTAAGTATTTTCAAGCATATCTTGCATCATCACTTGAAGGCTAAAAATAATTATCCTTCATTACAGCTTTAAGTCACACCAAAACAGATATTTCTCTATTAGGGCAGTCTTACAGATGACAGAGTACCCAGGCATTAAAAATATGTAAGTTTATAGAAGGGGTCACATGACTTTGGAGGGAAAAAAATCCCAGGTTTGAGACAAACGTGTTTATCTCAAAAAATAGTAGTGAAAAGGTCAATGGCATTCTTCAGTTCCGAACTCAGAGTAAGTAATTTTCATTATCTTTCCTAAAAAATTAACACATATGGACTAGGGATGTAGCTCAAAGGTAGAGTGCTTCCCTACCACGCACAAGGGCCTGGATTGGATCCCTGGCACCACCAAGAGAAGAATTTAATACTCCTCCCTTAAATGTTCATCACCTCAACATTTACAGCGTCAATTTGTGCAATTTTAACCCTGGAAATTTGTCAAAGGTTCCAAAGAGTGTTTAATAGAAACCCATCCACTCAGGGTAAATCCAACTTTCCTGAAAAGGTCATAAATTTGGCATTTAACTGTTACATAACTGCTTTACAAAGCAAACAATGTTCAGATTACGCCAGAAACACTAGGGTATGAAGCATATAATCTCAAACATTTAAAAACATGTGCAAGCCTATTCTTTTAAAATTAGACAAGAAGTTACCTATAATAGAATTCCCAAAGGGGAAGAATCACATTTGAGCTCATATTCTACTGGCTTAAAACCAGATTTACTACTGTTATTGTTAATAAAAAAAAAAATACTGTTATACAATGATTGGTAAATGAATGGGACTAGTTTAGTCCTTCCTAAACAATCCACTGTGGAGGGAATTAATGTACCTACCTTATAAAACTGTCCCAAAGCTAGCATAATAGTTTAGTTTCCCAATGTCAAATTTTAAAAACTCTCCCCTCAGGTACTTCACTACATGGCACATGTATTTTACCAGACACTAAGTAATTTTAAAATACCTACCCTGAAAGCACTGCAGCACTGCTGAGAACAATGATTCCACACCACAAACCAATATGGGAAACTCCAATGCAATTGCTTACAAGTAAAAACTAGGGATGTCAATGTTATAAAGACTAAAGGAACGTGAACTCAAGAAGTCATTTTACTATGGAAACGAACCATTATTCTCAAGTCCATAGTAAACATGGAAGCATCCCATAAAACCGTTCACAGGTATGTCCACCTCAAAACTGTTCATTCTCATTAAAAAAAAAAAAAAAAAAGAACAACTCTACAACGAATTGACTTTTAAAATGCTTTGATTAAACTCTAATTGCTTTACTCTCAGATTTGTAAAAGGAAATGCACACAGAATTACGTTAAATAAATTTAGATGATTTTGAACCTACTAACCAATCACAGCATTGGTGGTTCAGTGGTGGAATTCTTGAACTTAGTAATCAGTCTTATCTTCACGATGAAGAGTGTATTAGAAAACTGTTGCCCAATATCCCTCAAAATAGGAGACAAAAGCAACACATAGGGGTGGCAAGTACACAGACAATAAAAAATAGGCTTGGTGATCGTATCTGCAACAAAATGGGGCTGGGTATTTGGCAGTTACTAAGTCAAATGTTAGACGTTAAAAATGAGAACTACGGAGGCAGGCATGGTGGCACACACCTGTAGTCCCAGCTACTCAGGAGGCTGAGGAGAGAGGATTACTTGAGCCTATGAGTTCAAAAAAAAGAGAGAGAAAGAGAAAGAAAGAGAGAGAACTATCTTGTAAGTGCAAGTTTGCTTAACTTAAAATGAATTTCAGTAAAATTTATTTTCAGTGGATGACAAGTGGTCATAACCTAAAAGGCTGACAACTGATCATAATCTAAAATGTTCACTAATTATAAATGAGTGGCAGGGCAAGGGTAATTCTAATAAAAGTCAAAACACTGACATTCAAACCTAAAAGTTTAAGGTTATTTTTAATTTCTGGCAACAATTAAAAGATTCAAAATGTGTAACAAAGTAACATTAGTTTACTCTTATCTGCTACTACGGAACAGTGATAACTGAACTGTTTGTGTCCACTAGTCATCAAAATGGAAAAAGTAAGATCCATCTGAACATACTTATTCCATATGTCACACTCTCATCCTAGTATTTTTCTTTCGTTTTTTCCTTTGCCTACTTGTTTCCAGTACACTTTATCTCCAATCTAACACTGGACAGATTTCAGTGGATAAGAATGTAGTGGTAAATAAATTTTGTGTAAAAGTTAAATGTATCCCAAATGGGCTTTTATAACACAACGTAGTCTGTACAGATACAAGGCCAACTACATGCAAATTACAAGCTCTCAATTTCCAATGATGGACAATATAAACTTCTACAAAACTCAAATATGATTCTACAAGCATCAAGATCAACATTTAGGGGAGGTGAAGGCAGGATAAAAATAATAAAACGACTACCCTCCAAAGAGAAGTCATGCAATTATGAATACATGTAGAACAAGTATAACATTCCAGCCAAATCACAGTGAGAATAAAAAAGCTGGTCAGAGCTGCTGTGGTAAGCCACATGAGCCCACCTTTAAATGGTTCATATCCAATTCTTATTAAAAGTGTGTTTACAAATATCGTGGGTGGAAAAAGAACATTTTTGTATAACGCACACGGTTATCAAAAAATTGTTTTACTTAACACCTCCAGAGTATCTCAGTACAACATGCAAGACATTTTAAACACAATACTTTATAAAACACTTTATATTTAGCATTACACTTCAAATTTCAACAAAAATATTTTTCTTAATAAACGTGAAATCACATGACTCTTGCCCAGATATAGAAACGTTACTAGTTATATTTAGTTTAAATTAACCAAACTGTAATTCCATGCATTACCACCAACCAAATACCATATAATGGCATCAATCTTGCCCAAAACAATACATGATACCCAATGGTTTTACATCCCAGGTACAAGATATCCTATAGCGCTAGTAATGTCTAGAATTGCCTGGGGATCAATGGGCAACTAACCAATACATAACCTCTGCATATTATAACGATTGAAACCTTTATAATACAGAAATAAAATTTAAAAGTTTTACCATTCTTCCCGCTGTGCCGTCGCTGCTTCAGTGTGTCGTGGGGAGGAGTTTGAATGGCTAGGGAATTAACAACCGGTACAGCAACCAATCAAAATTCTAGTTTTAGTTTTTGGCATTGTTAGGGTTAAAAACTTTTCATTCATTTACACTTCAGTTCAACAGTAGATAACTACAAAGGCAGCTGCTTTGTGATTTGAAAACTCAGGGCTAATAAGCCTGTCCTAAACAATACGTTATGCAATTAATCATTTTGGTGCTTCTGTCCAAAGAACAGAATTCAAAAAGTAAAAAACCCAAAATGCTAAAGGCTTAAGATTCCATATAAGCTACAAACGTTAAAAGCATAGTTTCTCAAACTGAGCTATAAGTAACTCAAGATTATTTAATTAGGAAAAAGTTCATTTCCCCTCCCTCCTCCACCCCCTCAGCCAGCACCATCAGTAAACAGTGTGACAAGTCTGCCTGGGCTGGGATTATGGTAACTATACTGTATCGTATTCCAAAGTGCCCCCCCAAATCCTCTGCTCTTACCCAGGAAAGGAAATGATGATTTCTAATGCCGGGTTAGAGTGACATCTTACTGCTTTTACCTTCCACCAGCCTTTCTACTATTTATAATCAGGGTAAAAATTCTCAGACACACACCCATTACAAAAAGAAATGGAAACACTAACCCAAGTTCAGTAATCAACCCCAATTAAACCTGGACTTAGTACCTCCAGCTAACTCCCGTATTACGCTCCCAGATGCTGCAACTCCACATACTAAAAGCAGCTCTAGGCAGCACATGCCCCGTTTCTGATATTAGAAGCAACCTAATACTCAAAAGCCTGCAAAAAAAATTCTCATAGGACAATACATGACTTTTTGAAAAGGGGCAAGTGGCCCTCTTTAACAGTGAGTAAGCGAGCGGGAATAGCAATTTAAAAGGCTCCTTAGCTCCGAAAACTGGAGAGAGATGTAAAAAAATTTAAGTGGCATGGAAAAAGTAGAGTACAAAGTGTTGAAATAGTTGGGGCGCCCAACCATTGACAGCGCGAAAAGGGTGCGCGGGATAAGCACCTCTGCCGCTCGCCCGCCGGGGAGCCGCGCTCGCTCCAGGGCGAAGCCCACGCACCGGTGACCCGGGCGTCGCAGCAGACCCGCCGCTCCCAGGTACAAACGCGGGGTCTGAAGAAGCCCGCCCGCGTGCAACAATCTAAAGCGGGGTGGAAAAGTCCCAAGACGAAACTTATTTAAATTATAAAAGGAACCCGGCGGGGAGTGGGCTCGGGAGCTGCGGGTCGACACCCCGCACACGGACCCCAAGGCCCGCGCTCTTCGCGACCGCTGGCCGTCTCGGAAGGCGCACAGGTCCAAAGAAACCTCAGCGATCGCAGCAGAAAACCGGGACGTCAAGAAAAGGGTTCAGGAGGAAACAGCGGGAACAGGAAAAAGACGTCCCCGAGACGGGCGGGAAAAATCCTGGCGACTGAGCCGGTGGGAGGAGACCGCGCGGGAGGAAGGAGGGCGGGCGGGAGCCGCATGGTGACGGCGGAGGTGGGGACGCGGGGGGAGGGGAAGCGGCGCAGGCCAGGCGCGGGGGGCCGGGGACAGGGACGGTGACGGTGCGGGGCCGCGGGGCCGGGGCCAGCGGCCCTACTCACCCTTCGTCCTCCTCGTTCTTGCTGGCGTCGATCTTCGCGCCCTCGGACTCCG